CCCCGCTAACTTATTTTGCCCAGCTGGGGTTGTGGGGGGTGCCTCTGGGGTGCACGATGCCCTCAGCTCTGGGTTTAATGTATTATATTTATTTGGGGCTGACAGAGCCCCAATAAAGGGTTGGAAATGGCTGTGGCTGTGCCTGTGAGGTCCCTGGGAGCGGGTGGGAGCCTCCCATTGCACTAGAAGGGCGGGGGGCGGGGGTTGGTCCATTTTCTGGGGCCTAAGTCACCGACACGATCTGGGATTCTCTAGCATCTTCCACAAGCCTTGTGTCATCAGAGTCCAGTGCCAGGCTGTGAGGACAGAGTCAGGCGCCTGGAGGCCCGAGTTCAAGTTCTACCCCTGATTTTTAGCAGTCATGTAACATGGAGCGGGGTCAAGCCCTCTGAGCTTTGGTCTCCCCTTTTGTACAATGGGCATGAGAGTGGCACCTGTCTCCCAGCGTTCTTGGAAGTGACTAGTTCTCCAACTTGAGCTGCACCAGAATCTCCTGGAGGCTTATTGAAAGAGTGCCAGAGCCCACGTGCAGAGTTTCTGAGCCCGCAGATCTGGGGTGAGCTGAGGGTCTGCACCGCCAGCGAGTTCCCAGGGATGCTGATGGTGCTTGTTCAGGGACCTTGCTTTGCGAGCCACGACTACTACAACGGTCGAGGAGTTCATAAACGTGGCCGCTTACAACAGGGCCTGGCTCAGGAAGTTTCCAATAATGTTACTCATCGTGGAAGAATTGGGGGGAGAAAAAAGTAAGTCCTGTAGGAAGCACCAAGTGTGCACCAGGCTCCATGCCAGGGTCTGGTGTTCCTTTAAGTCTCCCGGCGACTCCATATGAGACACAGACGGATAGTTACATGACTGAGGCCACCCTGCAGAAGACGAGGGCTGCAGGCCCAGTCCATGGTGTCTCCACATTTAGATGCAAGGTCCTACCCCTGCGGGACCCCACAACAGCCTGTCCAGGTTGAGGCCATCCGGACCTCTAACCTACCAATGAAGAAATGGGCTTAGAGGCAAAGTCTCTGGTCCAGGTAGAACCCAGGTCTGTCTCACACAGCCCTGTTCTGGTTCCATAGTGAGGGGTAAGGAGAGACCTTTGACATGTCACACAGCCTGTAAGAAAGTTCTTGATTAAGGGCTTGAGGGAGAGGACTGGAGGAAGGGTTGGATGGAGGCAGGAGGGGCCATAACTGGCAAAGGGCAGAGCCAGGCTCTCCTCTAACTGTGTGATCGTGGCAGGTTACCCACCCACTGTGGGCCTCAGTTTACCATACCTGTTAATTAGGAATAATGGTAATACCCATCATGTGGGGAGAATTTCAGTTCCTATTAGTAAAGTGCTTAGAATAGCACCAAGCCCATAGTAGGTGCTCAGTGAACACCGGCTTATAGGGCTGTGAGTAGATGCCCCTGCCCAGTGCCTAAGGCCTGTCCTCACTGCCTCTCTGCCTGTCACGGGCTGCCAGAGGGAGGGCTCGGAACGGCAAGAGAGTTATTTTCTGCAGAGGAATCTCACAGCCCGGGAGGTGTTGGCACAGAGGCCCAGACCACAAAGGTGTCCAGTGTCCCTGGCTTCCTGTTCCTCTGCCCTGAGCCTGCCCCACATCCTTGTTCCTCTTCCTCTGCAGGACTGGGTCAGGGGGATTCTGGAACTTCACCCCACCCAAAACCAGAGGCCGGGACCTGAGCAGCCAGCCAAAAGTCTCACTCCCACCCTGGTCCTGACGGCCCAGAGCTCCCACCCCCAACCTCTCCATTTGGCAGAACCTACTAAAAGGACAAGCCACCCACTATTGCTGGGGCAGGATTCCAGATCCTTCCACTTGAGGCTAGCTACATGACCCTAGGCAAGGGTGTGAGCCACTCTCAGCCTCCCTTTCTTCTGTAAAATGGGGATAATAGTAGAACTTACTGCCAATGTTGGGGAGGTAGAAATGGATCCAGCATACGTGAAGGGCTAGAGCTTTGGCATGTATTTATTCATTTGATGAATATTTATTGAGCACCTATAATGTGCCAGGCACAGTTCTGGTGCTGGAAATACAGTGGTGCCCAGGACAGTGTCCTCACCTGGGGGGATCTTGTATCCCAGGGTTGAAGGAACAGGGGGTGAAAGGAATATCTAAATAAAGGAAGACAAAAATGTAGTGACAACTGTGGTCAAGTAAGGGACAGGGGAGGCAGTTTCCTGGGAATGGACAGAAGACCTGAGGAAGGTGACATTGGAGCCAGGAGCTGCTGGAGAAGAGGGAGTGAGCCTTTTGGTTACCAGGGGGAAGAGCAGAGGCAGAGCAGGCAGAGAGGGAAGAGCAAAGAGGGCAAAGGCCCTGAGGCAGGAATAAGTTTGCTGTGTTGGGAACAGCAGCAGGGGCCTGGGGGGGGGGGGGGGGGGGGGGGGGGACTGAGCCGCGGGAGGCGCAG